CAATGACCATCACGGGGATCTACTACCCCTTGGACATTCAGGATGCCCATCTCGGGGATCTACTACCCCTTGGGTAAAGTCCAACATGGGGGAACCACGACCCCCTGAGGACATATAATTATATCATAATCATAATGCTGTAATAGTGAGTCTGGGGGGTGACACCATGGCCACAGTTTAAAGTATAATCGGAGCATTTCTCCCCAGCAACCCTTCTCCCACAACATTCTGTGTGTGTGTCTTAATTGGTTTTTAATGGTCTCTGAATATTCGCTTAACGAATTGGTGCATTAAATACGGGGAAAAGGGGGATATGGGGAAAAGAAGCAAATCTGAAAAGAAGGAGGGGGGAGGAATCAAATTAATTGAAGAATATACACCCCTGCTATACTTTAAAACACTGTAGTTACAGTAGTTTAGATAATCACACGTCTCCATATTCATTGTGAAATAGATCAATCCAGCCAATTAATCAACTTGCCATTTTGTACACTTTAGTTCCTTCACGCCCGACAAACGAAGGTTTTCGGTTGCGATTGAAAATGGTTTAGAAGTTCGTGGTGATATACTCGTAAGTAACGTTTAGACAACATTTATTATGCTGAACCTTTTTATACTGGACAGTTTTATTTGTCTAAAGGTCCAGAAAGGGTCCTCTTTTATTGACCAGTTTTACTACTACAGGAGAGCATATTAACCAAGAAAGCACAGATAAACTGTGGTGTTTGGAAGGGAGAAACCATAGATATCTTATATAAACTAGATAGCGCATCTCTTTTACTAAATTGAAGCCAAGAATATTCCAGCGGTTACCCCCATTTGAATAGATGGCGGCCATGTTGGAGTTTCCCACTCGCTAATAAACGCTTAAAAAACAACAATAACTTTCATCATTTGAATAGTTTGAAAATGTATTTGGAATAGGTTTAACTTAATGTTTAAGTTCCATGTTTAAGAAATAGAAAACATACGAATCTTCTCATTTCATGGGAATATCCTGAATCTGCAATCACGGCTTCAATTTTTGAATTGCAAAATAATTAGATGCACTATCTAGTGTATATAAGATATCTATGGGTGAAACTAGATATAAACTCAACGGTTTTTGTCGGCGTAGGTAGAATAGCGAACTCAAGCAAGGCTTAATCTAGTACGTGATAAGAAACAGCTTTAAATTTTACACTTGTATAATTATAAAGAACTACTGTTATTTTATTAAGTAAGAACCATAGATATCTTATATATACTAGATAGCGCATCTCTTTTAGTAAAACTGAGGCCAAGAATATTCCAGCGGTTACCCCCATTTGAATAGATGGCGGCCATGTTGGTCGTTCCCACTCGCTAATAAACGCTTAAAAACAGCAATAACTTTCATCATTTGAATACTTTAAAAATGTATTTGGAATAGGGTTAACTTAATATTTAAGTTCCCTGTTTAAGAAATAGGAAATATACGAATCTTCTCTCATTTCATGGGAACGACCTGAGACTGTAATCACGGCTTCAATTTTTGAATTGCAGAATAATTAGAGCACTATCTAGTGTATATAAGATATCTATGGTAAGAACCTCAGCAAACTGCAACGAAGAGAGCTAATAATATCATATTAATACAAGAAAATGAGCAGAAATGAACAACTAAAATCCCACGGAAGTTTTAGACGTTGCCGTCGCTCTGTTTACAACGGCAAAATACAGATTATCACGTCTTGTATACAGCGCTTACATTTCAAGCTGGGACAACTGCTACTTTCAATGGACCATTTGCATTATAGACTAAATTTTGATCTAGACAAGTCTAGACAACAATTTCATCAGAGCTTGAAAGAGCGTCACAAAATTAGTAATATTCCAAAGTTCCGTTGCGAAATGTTATAATATAGCCTTGCAAAATTTGCAATTTTCAGTCATTTTGTATTACAAATGGGAAATTGATGCCCCAACACCCGATTGGGCTGTCAATTTCCCGTGCGTAATACAAAATGACTGAAAAACGGCAAACTTCGCAAGGCTATATTATCCGCATTTTACAACATTTCGCAATGAAACTTTGGAATATTACTAATTTCGTGATGCTCTTTCAAGCTGTATTGAAATTTTTGTCTAGATCAAAATTTAGTCTATAATGCAAATGTCCATTGGGTCCTAGAACTTTTCTCAATCAAATCCTGTGTGAACCTTGATCCTTAAACTGTATTATTTTTCACAGAATAGATAATTGAAGACAATTCCCGTTCCCGTCCTACATGCTTAGTTAGAGAGTTTGAGCAAGACAACGAAGTCGAACGACGACGGCGTGGTTGACAATTTTTGCCTGTCTTGCACATTATCTTGCGCATTCTGAGTTTAGGGTCAGGAGTGACGACAGATTAGAGATTCATGTCTTGCTGTTTATGAATGCTGACCTAAGTCCTTACCCTGATCAGGATAAAACAGCGAGACATGAATCCATATCCCGTCTTCGTCTTCTGCCTTCGTTCACAACGAATATTTTTGCAAAATTCGTTGTGAACTTCGTTCTGTACGAAGGCAGAAGGACAAAGACGGGATATAGTTTCATGTCTCGCTGGGTTTTTTTGGATCAGGGCAAGAATTATGGTCAGTATTCATAAACAGCGACACATGGGAAGACACGTTGAGCAACCACCAGTGACGTCCAACTCAGTATGCGCAAGATAATGTACAGACGGCAAAAATTGTCATGTATGCCTTCGTCTTCGTACTTCGTTGTCTTGCTCAAACTCTCTAATTAAAGTGCACCTAACCTCAATTATTTTTTATCATTTCATTCTTAAGAACTTCTGAAATGGTATAATAACTTATTTTGAAGATTTTCGTTTGCTCACTTTGTTTCTGAGATATTTCAGTTTGTTTGGTATGCAAATATCCGGAATTTACCTCGCATGATGACTTAAAGTAAAAGCTTGTATATCGTGTTACGTTTGTGTAAGTTTAGAGTTATGGGAGGATTACATATCAATGTAAAACACAATTTAGCCTTTTTATTTCATGATATTTAACGGTATACCGTACATTCTTTCATCAGTCATTATTCATATGTGACGTAAATTCCGGACATTTGCATATCAATAAAACTGAAATAACTCAGAGACAAAATGTGCAAACGAAAATCTTCAAAATAAGTTACAATATCGTTTCAAAAGTTCTTAGGAATGAGATGTTAGAAGAATTGAGGTTAGGTAAATTATTTCATCAGCAAAAGAAAGTCTTGAGTAGATGTTCTTATTTTCAGGTGAAGTGTTCTCATAAAAGCATAACATCAGCGCGGGAAATTATATTTCGATGTCAGTTCCACACAGGTGCTGTGGAAAATAATTTTCTACGTCTTGAGAAGTCACAGTTAGATGAAGCTCATAAAGGTGGGTGTGTTGTGATTATTGTGGAGGTGAAGTTGGTGGTGGTGGTGGTGATGATGACGATGATGGTGGAAGTGATGGTGGTGATGATGACGATGATGGTGGAAGTGATGGTGGTGATGATGACGATGATGGTGGTGGAAGTGATGGTGGTGATGATGTTCGTGGTGGTAGAAGTGATGATGGTGATCATGTTGGTGGAAGTGATGGTGGTATGATGATGGTGGTGGAAGTGATGGTGGTAATCAGATGGTGGTGGAAGTGATGGTGGTGATGATGTTCGTGGTGGTAGAAGTGATGATGGTGA